TGAGTGTGAGTGTGTGTGTGTGTGTGTGTGTGTGCGTGTGCGTGAGTGTGTGTGTGTGTGACACTCACAGAAGCACAGCAAAACAACACACTCACTGAATTCAAACTGATTGAGTGAGTGAGTGAGTGTGTGTGTGTGTGTGTGAGTGTGTGTGTGTGACACACTCACAGAAGCACAGCAAAACAACACGCTCACTGAATTCAAACTGATTGAGTGAGTGAGTGAGTGTGTGTGTGTGTGTGTGAGTGTGTGTGTGTGACACACTCACAGAAGCACAGCAAAACAACACGCTCACTGAATTCAAACTGATTGAGTGAGTGAGTGAGTGTGTGTGTGTGTGTGTGAGTGTGTGTGTGTGACACACTCACAGAAGCACAGCAAAACAACACGCTCACTGAATTCAAACTGATTGAGTGAGTGAGTGAGTGTGTGTGTGTGTGTGTGAGTGTGTGTGTGTGACACACTCACAGAAGCACAGCAAAACAACACGCTCACTGAATTCAAACTGATTGAGTGAGTGAGTGAGTGTGTGTGTGTGTGTGTGAGTGTGTGTGTGTGACACACTCACAGAAGCACAGCAAAACAACACGCTCACTGAATTCAAACTGATTGAGTGAGTGAGTGAGTGTGTGTGTGTGTGTGTGAGTGTGTGTGTGTGACACACTCACAGAAGCACAGCAAAACAACACGCTCACTGAATTCAAACTGATTGAGTGAGTGAGTGAGTGTGTGTGTGTGTGTGTGAGTGTGTGTGTGTGACACACTCACAGAAGCACAGCAAAACAACACGCTCACTGAATTCAAACTGATTGAGTGAGTGAGTGAGTGTGTGTGTGTGTGTGTGAGTGTGTGTGTGTGACACACTCACAGAAGCACAGCAAAACAACACGCTCACTGAATTCAAACTGATTGAGTGAGTGAGTGAGTGTGTGTGTGTGTGTGTGAGTGTGTGTGTGTGACACACTCACAGAAGCACAGCAAAACAACACGCTCACTGAATTCAAACTGATTGAGTGAGTGAGTGAGTGTGTGTGTGTGTGTGTGAGTGTGTGTGTGTGACACACTCACAGAAGCACAGCAAAACAACACGCTCACTGAATTCAAACTGATTGAGTGAGTGAGTGAGTGCGTGCGTGCATGCGTGCGTGCATGCGTGAGTGTGTGTGTGTGTGTGTGTGACACACTCACAGAAGCACAGCAAAATAACACGCTCACTGAATTCAAACTGATTGAGTGAGTGTGTGTGTGTGTGTGTGTGTGTGTTATAAATTGATGCATCGCGAATCGAGAAATGATTCTGCATCGATTCAGAGATTTTCCGAATGAATGGCGATTCTTTCTCGAGTGGATTCTGAGCTTATAGTTGTGAACAGCAGGTGGCGCTGCATGCTTCAGAAACAGCTGTACTCTGCTCGTTTCCAAATCCTTACACACACTCAAACCTAAAATAATCATTCATAAGATTCGAAAAAGTAGAAGCGAATCACAAGGGTGTTCACAGTGGGCTGTGTTTACATTAATCTGGCGTCATAAAAGCATTCTGAGCCGAGGTGAAATTACAGACTCAGCCGAACGCACAAGTGCTCTTCTTCATTAATGTGTGAGTGTGCGGATAAAAACTAGAGTAGAGCCATCTGCTGTAAAAATCTACGCTCAGAATCAATTCCAGAGAGAATCACCATGCATTCGGAAGATCTCAGAATCAATCCACGAATCAATTCTGCATCGATTTATCATCACAGCCCTAATACATACCTGTGGAATGATGCCTTGTTGTCCAGGCTCTTGTTTTCCCATCATGGTGTAGGATTTTCCGGCTCCGGTCTGACCGTACGCGAATATACAGACGTTGTAGCCCTCAAAGGCATGAAGCAGCATCTCCTCACCGATGTCCAGATACACCTGCTGCTGGGACGTGAACGCTGGGTCGTTCTGCTGCACACACACACACACACACACACACACACACA